CTCTCTCTCTCTCTCTCTCTCTCTCTCTCTCTCTCTCTCTCTCTCTCTCTCTGTGTGTGTGTGTGTGTGTGTGTGTGAGAGAGAGAGAGAGAGAGGGAGTGGGTTGTTGTGAGTTTATTTTCTTGTCCGTGTCATCGGGGTTTTGATAGCTGGTGATGGGGTGTGTGCCACTGTGAGGCTACAGTACGTAAGGTCCTCCGTTTGGAATGCATTGGTGATAGTGATTTTTCATTTTTGTGTTAGTTACCCTCGAGGGCAGTGGCTGGTGCCGAACCACAACTGGGGTAAAGATCGATTATCAGTCAGGGAGCTCAGTAAACTGTAGAGTGTTCAGCATCCTGATGAGTCGGTGAAACCAAGAGACATAAGTATGTAATAGCCTCATAGGCCGCCCGTCGTTTGTCCTTTCCTCTCTTTTAGACTATGGTCGTCATTGCCCACCTCAGGGTACCAGTTGTGGGGCAGTGGTGTGTGCCACCTACAGTATCATCCATTAGGGGACTCTGCAGACTGTATGGGTTCAGCCTCCTGATGGGGCAGCACAACTCAGCTTGGAGTATTCTTTCTTGTTGTTGTCTCCATTTCTACTGACAGTTCTCTGTGACACCCGTTCATTATAGCTGCATTTGGGGCACCTGGTCATTATAGCTGCATTTGGGGCATTTTTCAGTCCTGGACCAGATGCAGCGATGATGACCGGGCGTTCTATTCAGTTGAAGACGGTAGCCCCCTGCTATTGTTTCCTTTGGTCAGGTTGAGCGGCAGTGGTCGAGGCCGTCGGCGGCCCGTCGCTATGCAGCAATGTTGTGTGCCTCTAGTGCTAACAGTGTGTCTGGAGTGTATTTGCTCCCTTTGGCAGACCTTCCTTTGTTTCGAGGGGGGCTTTGGCCTTTGCTGGGTTGTGAAGGGGTGTGGGCCTACAGTCCGTAGACCCTTTTGCCATGTTTGGGTGGGTGATAGTCTGCTTTGATTTCTGTCACAGCTGGACTGAGTGCGATACCTCAGCTTGACACATGCAATAGTCGTGAGCCATAGGTCGTCACTTCGGTCCAAAGGCCGAATCAGGGGCCAAAGGCCACACCCGAGCCATGGAAAATTGCCTGAACCAAGGCCTGCTGCCGTGGGGTACCCGAAACAAGGCCTAAAACTGGGCTTCAGAGGCCCTACGTGCGACAGTTGACCGCGGAAAGTCAAAGGTCAAACAGCAGCTCGGAAATTCAGGCTCACGAGTCAAAGTCAACATGGACCCAGCCCAGGCCACAGATCAGACACACACACTTGGCTGTTTGCAGGTATCTGTCGAGAATCCAGTCCAAGTGGGAATCTGCAAGTTTGCAAGTGTATGAAATCATCATCATGACCATCATCATATGAGGGACGCTGAGCCCAGTTCGCAGCATGTTCGGTTCGGTCACTCCGGGTAGACTGTGAGGTCCCCGGCCTCAATCTTCTTATTGGTAATATCAGCCTTGGGCACTCGGGCCGGATTTAAAAAAAAAAAAAGGCCATTGACTGCGGGTCAATCTGAGCCATCGTAACCGAGTGACCAGAGGCTGGTCAACGGGATTCAACACTATATGTTGTCCCAGCCCCTGCTGACCTACACTCAGTCTTGCATTTGCTGCGGGATGCTGGCTCGACGCTGGCTCGATATTGGAGGACGACGCGAGACTGCTAGTCTGCTACTGCTTAGCGCTGGCCTGGCGCCATTCTCTGTCTTCGGCGCCAGCCCTCTTCTTGATTATGCTGACGTGGCTCACCACACTGTCTATAACAATGATGGGATATTGGAGAGGAGGAGGAGGATCAGGGCTGTGAGATTGGTCGAGTGAAGAAAGGAGAGCTTTCCTGTTCACGATTGTGTTGACATTGCGCTCTGCTGTTTTCTTCAGAAGGAGTCTGCGCCGCTTGCACCTTGTTGAGATC